TGAACTATCCCTGCGTTTTTATTCTCATCAAATTTTACCGGTGGATCCACCATTCTATGGCCGTTATTGTCATTTTCCATTCACTAAACAAAGATAGCTAACTCATCGGTGGAATCACCGATGTGAATAAAAACGAGGAGTATATGTCTAGAATTTTTCGCAAAACCTGGAAATGTCATAATATACCAGGGTGATTTATTTAAAAAAACAAAGTTTCTGATATTTCCCGAAAAACGATAGATCTGACAAGAATGTAAATACTATTATATTATCGGGGATAATACCACGAGAGCTTCAAAATTACCGATAATTTTTCACGATTGCGTGTTTTCTATAATTTCACGAGTCCGTAGGACGAGTGAAATTTGCAGAGAAAACACGCATGAGTGAAAAATTATCTGGTTCATATTAAAGCTCGAGTGGTATTTAGAGGATTATTTCACGTATAAGAATGCAAAAAAAATATGGAAATAAAGATGTATTTAACGATTTGAACATCTTAACAATCAATACAAATAAATGGTTGCTATCAGGAACCGTTTGTTTGTATCAAAAATTAGCATGATAACCATGTATAGAATAACATGGGAGAATTATCGCTGTAATTCTCTCTAGTTAATCAAATGGAAAAGAGAAATTTCGCTGTAAATCTGAAAATCGTCACTTTTCTTATGGGATTTCTAACACGTGAGTGGAATAATCGGCCATATTACAATACTCTTTCGAACCAAAATTCATAAAAATCGTGCAAGCCGTTTTCGAGATAATTGAGACATTCCATACTTAAAACTCACTCGTATATGGCAAGAATTTGTCGCAATTGTTAGACAAGAAAGAAGAAATACACTATAAAGTTAGAATTAAAAGAATGGAAAAATTTAACATCCATAGAAAATTCACAGTCCTTCGCAAATGATGCAACCGGGGGGTTGAAAATGATGAAGTAAAATGTAAAGTGTCTATGATGCAGATTGCGATAAAAATGGATTTTGATTGATGATATGACTTGTGACGTCATGTGTAGCAAATGTAGCCTGCCTTTCTTTCGCGATTTGGGTCCCCGATGATATGACTTGTGACGTCATGTGTAGCAAATGTAGCCTGCCTTTCTTTCGCGATTTGGGTCCCCTCACTAGGATAACAGAAACATTTTCAATGTTAAAATTTAATTGGGAGCAGAAGCAGAAAACAACTTTTTATTCTGAATTACATTAAAGGCGAATTTTTGGAGCTTCTTACACTTGGCAGGCTCAAAAGTTGTATGTTTACTTCCTATAGTCAAAAAAGTGGGCTTTTTCTGCGTAGGCCAGTGCTTCTACAATAAATGAGCATTGAGACTTTTTTTTCATCAAATCGGCACAGACATATTATCTGAGATGAGTCTCTTGAAATTCTTGAAAATGACGAAAATGTTTCCTGTGTTAACTAATTCCATGGGCAGCATATTTTACCCAAAGGTACGTTTCCCTCCAGTGACTGTGACTGGGTAGCGGTGACTAAGTTTATCTGCTCCTACTCAGTAGCTACTACTGATCTTTAGTAACTATGTTCCAAGAGCAGCTTCTAATTTTTAGGGTATTTTAGAAAACATCAATGATTTGTCCAAAAGGGCGGTTACACACGGACGTGGATGTCTTAATACATATACGTGCATACATCAAGGTGCAAGCAACAACGTGCACGGCGTTTTGTACAGACGCTCGCACAAAACTGCAGTCTTGCTATTCTTGCTACAGTATTCCGAGTGTGCTTACAAAATTGCACATTCAAAAACGCGACGATATTTTGCATACACATTGATGTTTTTGTTTGCGCGTTCATGTATGTGCGTACATGTTTTCAGACATCCACGTCCGTGTGTAACCGCCTAAAGAGCTAAAACTGGATCAGTCTATAAAAATTTCACATTAGGCCAGCTTCACACTCAATACTGTTGATATTGTAGCAACTTTATATCGGTAGGCACTCAATTTACGCAGCCAGAAACTAGAAAACTGCAGTGTTCCAATAAGATGAATATTTTGTATTGTTGGCAACCTAATTTCAGAGATTTTCATTATCCAGGATTTGTATATGGTAGCACTGTTTCCTGATCACAGTCACTAGCAACTGGATAGACAAACGTGCCTTCAATATATTCCTCTTGGTATTCTGCTTTAATATTTATTTATTTATGAGAAATTGTTTTATGTTTTACAGAAACAAGTAAACAGGGTAATTAGTGCTGAAAGTAAAATATTTTTAGACATATATGCGTACATAATAGGCAATATTTACTAGAGCTAGTAATTCTAGTGTATTTGTATTTGTATACCTATTCTTTTTAGCTATGTCTGAAATTACAATTACTGTTGTCATTTTTTTTTCTAAATCGTAAGTCAAATGTTTCTCCTGGAGTCTATTGAACACATTGGGTAGTGTGAATAAAAATTTAGTAAAAGCCTTAGCTTGCATTTCCTAAGCAAATACTTACTTTGCAGTGAATAAAAATGAGTATTAGCTTTAACTAAAAATTCAATTAGTAAAAGCTACAGTTTTTAGCATTGTCTTTAAATGGTGTGAATAAAAATAAGCACTTCCTAATTATATGAAGGAAAAGCTTACAGTTTTGCAAGCCTGGTAAACCTTGGCTTAAACATTCTAGTAGTGCCTAAATGTTTGGCAGAAATGGCTGCGTTTATGAATATGAGGTCTGCGAAATTTTCTTCCGAAAGAAAAGAAAGTCGTGCCGAAGAATACCACAGTCTGTCAATTTGAGGTTGGCTCAAAACTTCTCATGAACCTCCTCCTCCAACAAATCACTTATAGAATTGTCTGAATCACTATTCATTTTCACCTTGAAGCGCTGGCGTTTGATACGGCTACTTGTTTAAAAGGGGTACGTTCACCAGCACTCAACTGTTGCCACCAGTTGAGTAGTTGGAAAAAGAATGGGTACGTTCACCAGTACGCAGCAGCTAATATGCAGTGTAAAGCAGTTGAGGACAGTTGAGATACAGCGGATGTAAATTTCCTGAACGCATATAGTTGAGAGTTATGACAAATGACAATTCAATAAGTTGAGTTGGTAAGCGTAAATTTTTACCACTTAGAGAAATCGGCAGCAGCTGACAAAAAGCGGTTTTTACTGAGCACCGCTGAACGCGATCGTTTTAACTAGGTACTAAACTGTTGCAACAGTTGAGTGCTGGTGATCGCACCCCGTACCCAATCGCCTTCAGCGGCGCTCAGCAAAAGCCGCTTTTTGTCAGCTGCTGCCGATTTTTCTAAGCGGTAAAAATTAACGCTTACCAACGCTTTAGACATGCGCAGAAGTGTCGGGCGTTCAGGAAATTTACATCCGCTGTATCTCAACTGTACTGGTGAAAGTACCTTATTATTATTAACTTCAGTCAATGTTTTCACACCGCCGGTCATAGATTTGTTCCAACACATCAAGAAGCTGCACAAAGCCGAAAATTTGTGCGTAGAAATTCGTAGGTATACAGAGTGGTTTCTAGACCGTTCATGGGGCGGTTTTTGACGTGTTGGAACCAACCTCATACCATTCCCGTTTATAAAAATATAAACATCACCGTTATCAGTACAAAAACTCGCAAACATACACATTGGGCGCGTTCTTTTATTCAGCAATGCATCCATCTGCTGCCATCATAATAAGACAGACATTCCTATTTTCTATGAGCTAGACAAAGAAAGGCTGATTACTGATGGATCCACCGCTGAATAAAAGAAAGCGCCCTTTTTGAGAATTCTATAGATACTTCACGAATATCCGTATATTTTCAGTAAATGCTTAAAATATCTAACTTTTGCTAGTAAGTAAAAGGAAAAGGTTATTCACTTCTATTTCAGCAAATGCTATTAGCAGAAGCTAAATCTACCTAGTAAAAGCTGAAGCTATCACTTAATGCTAAAAGTGGGAGCTTAGTTTTTATTCACACTGCCCATTGGACTAGCTTTTATCCTATACTTTTGGGGTATTTGGAGAAAATACAACAAAGGTAAGCAAGTATTTTTAGAAGGTGAACCACATGTCTGATTACAGTTCAAAGACAAAAACCTGGACATTTGACTATTGTGTTCCTTCCCATAAACAAGGTTTTCCTCAAAAAAAGTTCAAATATTACAAAGCGTTAGTTTGGTTATTTAAGAAGTTGTTCAATAATAATTAAATTATTGAGAATGATTTTCTTTTTAATATTTATTTAGGATTAAGAAGGAATAGTGTGTTCTCTTGATATTTGTATACTATTTAAACTATAATCAAAAACTTTGTTATAATTTTTGCTTTGCACCTGTATAAATAAATTATTTAAATTATTAATACTGGCAATTTTATTTATATTTCCTCATGATATAAAATAATTATGAGATGTGTATTGAAGAAAAATTATGTGAACCAGACACATTAAAGGGAGTGTGACATTAAAATACAACTTGTATTCATGTATATAAATGTATAGTCAGCAGTTCTAATCGTGTGGGTTGCCTGAACTCAGATTGTCGGTACAGGTTCTCATCATAAGAAGCCGTGTATAGGGTGTCCATAACTCACGCAAAAATTATAAAACCTTTAAACTGACGCAGCGATAGGGGTGAGAACGCAACAACAAAACGATAATGTCAATAATAGCTTTGTTCCAACTCAGTAGAAACCCGTACAATGTACAGTCACGATTCTGCGCAAAGCCTAAAATTTGTGTGTAGAATCCGAAATTCGTATACAGAGTGGTTTCAAAACCGTTCATGGGATGGTTTTCAATGGAATTGAAACAGACCTAATATATGCAGCAAACATGAGCAAACGCGCATGCAGCGCCGGAAGGCGGACTCAGTTTGTGCATGTGACGTCACAGTACTACGAGTGGGAGCCTTATACCATGGTATCTACCCAACGGTTGGTCGTTGCCTAGTGCGGTTTGAAAATTTGTTCTTAGATTTTTTTTTTTCTAAAACTTTTATTTTTGGGTCACACCATGGTCACACACACCCCTTTTAAGAAAGTTGCTTGACTCACAGTAAAGCCTAAAAATAAAACTTATTTTCAGTTGAAATATATATTTTCAATTACTTAAAATACATAAATTATAATCTGTCGAAGCACAAAATTTTCTTAAACTGGTAACAAAAAATATATATAAAAAAAAATCTCCATAATTCCATAATCACCATAATTCTTACAATTTGAAGTAATAATACTTAAACATTGTGTCCGGGAGCATTTCAGAAAACCTCTATTCAATCCCATCAAAAAATTATTATACCTATTATTTTCTATCACAGCATTACATAGATATTTTCAAACATTAAATGTTATTTATAAAATAAATTTTTCAGATGAAGCACTCCCGAGAGCTATCCTTTTTTTTACAAGGTACAATGAAGACCTAAACATAAATAATTGAACAAAACACAACAAATAAATAAATTTAAATATGTAATGAGATTCTTTAACTATTGCTTGCCTAAATAGTTGCAAAATTTCAAAGCTCACATAATATTAACTAAAAAAAAAATTCACTATAATTTGAGAAATTAAATTACATAATATAAAATCTATCTATAATGAATAAAATTTCATATAATTCTTTAAGGAACCTGAAATATACTGATATAACTACTGTGCAACTTTGTGAATAACCTTGAAGGGCAAGAAATTACATTAATAATGACATTACGACTCTTCTTTAATATACGTAAAATTCCTTTATACTCTAACTACCAACTACATTAATGTATGTATTGCCTTGTACTGAAAATCTATTAATTTAATGTAAGCTACTTCCCGGCCTGGAGCTACTCTTCTTGGGTGTTTTTTTAGGCGATTTTACAATGTTGCCAATGTGTAACTCTGAAACGTACATGTCTTCCATTTTTCCTTCTGCTTTTTCTGGTCTTAGGCTCATGTTACGTAGGATCGCTTTAACCTGGAGAGGACAATTTCATTTCAATTAAAATAGTTTACTTTCAATAATATCAAGTATATTGAATTATAACAACTCTTTTTACCTCCTCTAAGTCTTCGCTAATATTTTCACTAGGATCCTTCTCGCTCACCGCCGAACTGGTTGTGGCAACACTGCAAACTTCACACCTATCCAATTCTGCAGTAATGTCAGGCAAAGAACTCATATTATTTCTGGTTTTGTGAGTGGGAGTTTCTTCGAAACTCTGGCTCAACTCGGCTCCGACTCCGGGTTCACGAGGTCTCGTCAGCAAATCGTCGTCGCATTGTTTACCTGAATTATTATTTTTATAATTATTTAGGTGATAAGCAAGTTTATGGATTTACCTTGACGTTTCATGTGGATCTCATTTGATATTTGTTCGAGATTTTTCAATGTTTGAGAATAGAAATTTTTCGTTTTGATTATTTCTTTTTTGATACTTTCGATTCTTTGTTTTTGTGTGTTTAATTGATCCTAGAATAATTTATTTATTAGATTTTTTTTTGATACGATTTCCGTGATTTACCTGACAGAGAGCTTTTTCGTCGAAATAAGGCCGAGACTTGATTATAAACTTCTGAAGTTTCTCTTCAAGCTGCTTCAAGTTTTCATCGGTTTCCTTGTAAATGGAGGCCTTTATTTGATGGTCGCGTCCGCGTTCGGCTTTTTGAGTATCTGCTTCCATAACCTAAGAATATAGAGGTTTTAAGTACAAATAATTTTTTTTTATGTATAAATTGCCTTCATAGTTGCATGATTGAGCATCTCTTGCCAAGCATTGTCGAATTGCCATTCATGTTGGTTGGTTAGGAATCTTTGTTCGGCTAGGGCTACTGTCTCTTTCGCTGCCGCGTGTATACCTATAAGAATGTAAGAATTACTATGTTATTTAAAACAAAAAAAATTCAGAGTCCATGTTATATTTGGAAACGCAATAATTGTTTTCACAAAATTGGTTAATAGTTGAGAGTGAAAAAAGCAAGCCTACCAACACCGCATCATGAACATAAATGTAACAAAGTCTAATAACAGGTTTTGCTTTAATGAACATTATGGATTTATTTAAAACAAATCTAAAGGCAATTTGGGAAGGTATTATAGAACACCTTATTAAAAGGGTAGTAGTGGTAGCTATTACCCGGTCGAAAAATTTGAGCAAAAGGATAAAAACCAAAAAACCTAGGTTTTATTGAATTTTTGGATATCTTCAACCATTTCATCCCCTAAAAATTCCGAAACCAATTTGAGGCAGTAGTATTTTTGAACACCCTACTAAGCCCTTGTTGAAAGATGGAGTGGTGTCCCATCCAAAGTCTTAAGAAAAAGGATAGAAACTTTCTTTTTATTAACGTTTGTTATTTTCAACCTTTCACCCTCACTTACCCCTCACTGATTTGGAAACCAATTCAGGGGATTATTCTAGAATTTAAAAAAGTGAAAATTGTTTTGGTGCATCTCTAATTCTTTGCTAGAAATCGAGGCTAACCCGAGGGCTAACTTCATCCAAGTTTTTATTAAAATTATTCATTTTGTTTCCAAGGCTACTAATCTTATACAAATTTTGAAGGTAGAACAAAAGTTTTCGTTTGGAATGATGCCATTGTTATTTATAGTAGGTAGGTACCTATTGTTAGAGCATGATGATCTTGCTCTATTTTTATTTTAACAAAGCCCATCCACCTTTATCTTGTTGAATATATTATTTGTTTTTATCTATAAAGAAGTCGATTCGTATCCGTCTTGTATTGGAAATCTCATTCTCATTGGTCATGATTATTTACTTTGGAGACCTACTTATTAAGCAATTGACTACTTATCCAGACTTCATTAAATGATGAATGCTCTATGGTTGTACAATCATTCAATAATAAAATATCGTAATCTTATAAATACAAAAATCACAAAAAGCCCTTTGAATGTGCTAACACAAATTTGTAAAAATATGACCAGAGAAAGTAATCTTTTTCTCAATCCTAAATAGATATGAGAGTAAATATGTAACATCTGAGATAAGCAAAATATATCCAAATAAAACCAACCCAAAGATACTACAAATAAATTTGCAAATGTATGTATACCGAGTGCCCACGAGATTACTTTCCGGCTGCCATTTTTTTATTTGTTCATCGATATCAACGAAATTTGGTAGGGTTGATATTCTAACCAAACGCCATTTTTATGCATTTATGACAACTTTTTCTGAATTCCGGTTTCACCGGAAATTACTGAAACTTTCGATTTTCAAATGGCACACCCTGTATATATTTTGTTTATCGGATTCTACAGATCGTTTTACGTCCTAATGAACTTTTAAATCGAGTTTTGTCTAAATTTCGTTTTCAAATTAAATTTTAAGTAGAAAAAAAAATTACCTACAATTTTTTTTTCAACTAACACTTGCGGTATGAGGAGCGAGGGGGTGTTTCATATGGCAAAAACAGGTGTGACGTCAGGTAACCATTGGCGTTCTAATGTAAGGAGCCACCAGCTCACATTCCGTCCGAGTATCAGATTAAAATCGATGGACAATATATGAACGAAAATTGAGAAAAATGTTGTAATGTATTATATCGTTGGATTCGCTTTAAAATACTGTGTTTAGTAATGTTATGAAAGTGATATGTCTCTATTCTACTTTTTGAGCTAGGGCAAAAATACTGAAATAATGGAGTTTACAGCCCTCTATCAAAAAAGTTTACAAATATAAAATTGAGTTTGTATTTTTCTGAAATTAAGTAAAGTATGTAGAGTCATTTTAGGATGAAATTTGGACAAAAATCGATTCAAAAGTGGTGCATTAGGATGTAAAACGATCTGTAGAATCCGAAAAACAAAAAATATACAGGGTGTGCCATTTAAAAATCAAAAGTTGCTGTCATTTCCGGTGAAACCGGAAGTCGGGAAAACTTGTCATAAATGCATAAAAATGGCGTTTGGTTAGAATATAAACGCCACCAAGTTTCGTTGATATCGATAAATAAATAAAAAAATGGCAGCCGGAAAGTGATCTCGTGGGCACCCGGTATACTGCGGTTGGTATTTTTTTTAAACAAATATGTAGTAGCAATACAAAAGATTTATGGGTAAGAGAAATGTGTGTGATATTCAAGTCACTAGAAAATTCTACTTCTTATATAGATATTTAAGGCACGAAACATCAAAATACATAAAACTTACACAAACAATCATTTAAACAATATAAAGGGCTCTTCATTAGAGTAGAGATTTTCTTTCTCGTCTTAAATTTATACAAGCTAGGCTCTCACAAGTCCGGAGAAAACAAGTTATTGAATTCAAATTCCCCATTATTAAATCGACTTCTACTAACAAACAGTATTAGGATAAGGTTACATTTCCTCGAGGGGTTAGCCACCTTGAAAAATGTGTACACCAGATTGCCACTTTTAACAGAATCCCACGAAATCCCACTGGAATCCCACTGTATCCACTAAATCTTACTGGAATCCAATGGAATTCCATTGGAATCAAACCACCGAGTTAAGCGGTCCAAATCCAATTGGAGTTTTTTGCAGTCGTCCTGACATTGAATTTTCATGTAGAATTTTAGATCATCCGCAAATAACAAAAAAGATGAGAACAGAAAACAAGATGCAATATCATTTACGTTAATATTGAAAAGTAGGAGTCCTAGATGTGAACCTTGCGGAACACCTGATGGTATTTTTACTTCGGACGTTAGCCATTCTAGAAGCTCACCTTGAATTTTAATGTTATTCAGTTTTTTTTACCAAAATTTTATGGTGTACTCTGTCGAAAGCTTTTGTGAAGTCTCTGGAGCGAAAGAGAAGAAATCCAAATTGATGGTCGACGAAGCAGTTTCTCAAACCAGCAGACAATCAGTCACATACTAAACTTTCAAACACTTCTGGAATACAGCTCAAAATACTGATGGGCCTATAATTACTGACTTTAGAACCATCGCCTGATTTAAGTATGGGAGTGATGAAGCTTGATTTCCAAAAAGTGGGACAAGTTATGGTTAGCAGAGATAGATATTTAGTTCGGTAGAAGAGTGTTTTTTGAAGCCAGACTGCTGGTTATTTTTGGTCCAAGGCAAGATGCTGAGAATTTAGTGACAATTTTTTCAAATATTTTTGGAATGGTATTGAGAATGCTAATAGGGCGATAGTTAGCCACATTTTCTGGATCACCTGATTTGTGAAAGGGTACCACAAAAATGTAAAATCAGCTTCCCTAGAAAAAGAACTCTTCGACCTTAGAGTCATAAATAAGACCTTAAATGACAATTTCTTATCTCTGTCCAAAGAAAATGGCACATTTGTTTCAGAGTTGATAAGTACCAAAAAGAATTTAAACAAACATAAATCTAAGGTGATCTGTTTAGACGTAGGAACTCAAACTGACAAAATTTATGGTAGCAAGGCTGCGATCAGGAATGAACACATTAATATGCAGAATGAAAATAAAAATAAAATTATTTTGCTCTCGGATCAAATAGGTAGGGGATTGGCATCTAAACTGAGTGAGAGTCTGAATAACTGAAAATTTCCTGTTGAAAGTATTATTAAGCCATCTGCTTCTTTCGATGCCGTTGAGGAAAATGTGAATTGTTTATCACAGAATTTTGGCAATTCACAGTTAAGTAAGTTAGTTTTTAATTTTGACAAAGGACCACGCACGGATCTTATAAGAAAAAATAAATATCACGATTGTCATGAAATTGAAATATTTTATGCTTCTCGACCTCCTGAACGTAAGTTCTCGTAGGCCCAAAAAGATCCTATGATTAGTTTCGGAGATACAGGGCCAGGATAACATATTTTGACAAAAAATAAACATTTCAAAATATGTTGAGTTCAGGCAATAGGCCGCCATAGACACACGTTCTTTCGCGCGGTTTATCGTGTCATCTGCAAAAACCTGTGAAAAATCATGTGCGTGAGTGAGGAGGGTTACACGCAATGATAGAATGGGAAGGGATTTCAGACGTGCTTTCATCTGGAATGTGACACCACAGAACGTGACACTCAAGTACAGACAACCGTGTCCACACGCCATTCCACGTCACGGGTTTTGAGGCTAGTACGGAGACATAAACGCCGCGTAGCGAACTATCACGTTGAAAATTAGTAAATAACAACATGCACTTCCAAATGACACGATAAATGACACTTTTTACCCATACACATACGGTTTTTCCTTTCCAACTGATATGTCGCGCGTAATCACGTACTAAATCTATTTAAATACTTTGTCAAGTGTCACATGGAATATGACGCTTTTTTTGCCATGCCGTTCTTTCGCGCGTGCAAACCGCTACATCTCAACACGCCACGATAAACCCCGCGAAATAACGTGTGTGTATGCCGACATAATGACATATTCTAGGTTAAAAACGGGTGGAAAAATGCTAAAGTAATGTCATCTGAAGCTTTGAAGGTTGAAAACTTGTCGAAAAATGCCAAAAGATGTCATTTTTGGTTATGAATTAATTTAATGTACCAGCAGATTCTGGAGATTTTTCTTGTACTGCCTTTTTTATCGGTGCTGTATCTCCGAAACTAATCATTGGATCTTTTTGGGCTTACGAGAACTCACGTTCAGGCAGTCAAGAAGCATGACATATTTCAATGTCATTGATGCAAACCTCTTGTCTACGTAAAGCTAGATGAAAATATATGTAAAACTAAAGCAGATACTGAAAATACCTATAGTGCTTTGTCAAACAGTATTGACTCATCTATTAATGACTCTTATAGTCCAGTGCGTAGCGATTCTTCTGTTAGAGTTCTATCACATAGTTTCAGTAATACACATAATACAAATTTTCATCGAGTTTTAGAGGGGCGCACCTTACCTTGATCTATTTGAACATTCAATCTATTAGACCCAAGATAGATGAGTTATCGATTTTGTTGAGCACTTATGGTCACCCAAGCATAGTGTTATTATGTGAGCACTGGCTTAAAGTTGATGAGCCTATTTGTGTCCCTGAATATTTCTTGCTCAGCAGTTACTGTAGATCGGTGTTTCAGAATGGAGGTACATTGATTCTTGTAAACAATAATTTTTTAAACCAATTCATAAAAATTGATAAATATATGATCAGCTTCTGGAAGAAAAAATCTTTGAATTTTCGTTGGTATATTGCTCAGGTTGGAATTTCTATATTTTGTGTTTGTACAGATCCCCATCAGGCGATAAGGATGATTTTTTGTCAAAAGCTGAAACACTGTTGTCTCAGCTGCCTCTTAAGTCTACAATCTTGCTGTGTGGGGACTTGAATTTGAATTTCCTGGATGTATCTGATAGGCATGTTGGAGGGCTGAGTGGCCTCTTGCAGAGTTTTGGTCTGAATATGTTCGTTGAAGCTCCTACTAGAAGAACTTCGCAATCGGCTACCTTATTGGACTATTTATGTTGTAATTTGCCTCAGAGTGACGTGGAATGCCAGGTAATCGATGCTGGTTTATTTGACCATGAAGCAATTTATCGTAAAGACTGAAGTTAGTATTTGTTCTAAAACGCTAAGAAAAGGAAGATTGTTTACAAAGACAAATTTTCAAAGATTTGTGCAAAGTAGGCAATCAATTAATTGGGCTGGTCTTTTGCATTCTGCAAATCTGCTACATAATTTTCATACAATTCTTGCAAACTGTTTCAACACATCTTTTCCAATAAAGACTTTGAAAAATAAGAAAAAAAGCCCTGGATAACTAAAGGCCTTACGGGTTCTAGTGGCAATATGCGCTGCCTCCACTACTTAAGAAAGTATTACATGGATATTTGTTATTTGTTTCGTTTTTCAATAGATATAGATCAATATACAGACAAGTGATTAAACTGGTGAAGCAAGTGTATTATAGGGGCACGCTTTCGGAAAGTGACAATAGTCAGAGGGAGGCCTGGCGAATTGTCAATGAATTAAGAGGCACATGCAACTCCAATATGGCTGACTCTGGTTTATCATCTTTATCATCTAATAAGCTTAACACTTATTACTGCTCAATTGCTTCCAAGCTTTCTGATCAGTTGTCACCCTCTCATGATTTTAAACACTTTTTAAGGAATGTTCATAATCCTAAAATAGTACATTATATACCTAGGTAGAGAAGTTGGTCATTATATACCGAGCACTTTTATAAACCGAGACGCGTAGCGCCGAGGTTTATAATGCGTAAGGTATATAATGACTTTCTCTACCGTGGAATATATAGAATTTTTTTTACTACTGCTATAGTAGAAAATAAAAAATAAGTTTGAAATCTAAGCTCAAATTATTTTTTCTAGTTGAAAGTGCTGCCCTCTATCAACATCTATGGTAATTTCCTATGATACATACAGGAACCTGTTTTTTAGATTAACAGTTTGAAATCAAAATTAAATCAACATAAACCTGTAACGTTATGACAATATCCTTGCGTCATGACGTCATTTTCATTATTGACCTAGGTTTTTTTTTCATTATTTTCATTATTAACCTAGGGAGAGAAATTCAATTTTTTCCGAGAAAAATAGATTGAATAATGACTACTTCTCAGGTTAGTAGTAAAAAAAATTCTTTATGATCCCCACAGATGTGACCGAGCTTCGGAGAATCTTCTCAGATATTAGGAAGTCAAATGCATCTGGCTGGGATGGTATCTCTTTCAAAATACTTCGTAATCGTTCTGATGATGCTTTATTGACGTTGTCTGAGAGTATAAACCTTTCATTTGAGAGAGGCGAATTTCCTCCTTTTCTGAAATCGGCAATCGTTGGTCGTCTTCATAAGGGAGGGGATGCTGAAGAGCCAGCAAAGTACCGTCCCATCGCGCTACTTCTAACATTGACTAAAGTTATTGAAAAGATAGTTAAGAAGCGTATGACAACATTCATTCAACATAATAAACTGTTGAACAGATCTCAATTCGGTTTTCAGGCTGGTTTGAACACTGGAGACGCTATGTTTTCATTGTTGGAATCACTCTATCTTAGATTGAATAATCACGATTCAGTAGCTGCGGTTTTTTGCGATCTTTCGAAGGCTTTCGATTGTGTGGACCATAACATTTTGCTGCAGAAGCTAGAGCTCTACGGTTTTAGAGGAATAACAAACAACTGGTTTAGATCATATATAGAAGATAGGCAGCAGACAGTTTTGTTTGGGGACCTGATGTCAAAAAACCTAAATGTGAGCTCTGGCGTCCCGCAGGGCTCAGTGCTGGGGCCTCTGATGTTCCTTCTCTATATAAATGATTTGGCACTCATTGATTATTTAGCGGGCCAGTTTACGCTTTTTGTTGGCGATGCTACCATCTTATGGCATGGAAAAAATGAAAGTGTATTGAGTGATCTTATAAATAATGACTTGGTTCATGTGAAGGAATGGTGTGACTCAAATAATCTTTCATTACTTGAATGTTAAAAAATGTAATTTACAGGGTATTTCATTAAATAATTCTAATGTTACCAATTTGAATGAAAACAAATTTTTAGGTATATACACTGATGACAAATTGAAGTTTGAGACCCATGTTGAAGCTCTCAATAGGAAGTTGGCATCCGGCTGTTATGCACTGAGAACTATTATTGCTTAACTTGATAGGCCGACGGCACGTAAAACTTACTTCGCCTTGATCCAGTCCCATTTGCGATATGGATGTTTGCTCTAAGCGACTCTTTAACAGGGTATTTATTTTGCAGTAGAGGGCAGTGAGATACAAGTGCCGAGCAAAAGTTAGAGACTCATGTCGGCCTTTATTTCTATCGGAAGGAATTTTGACCTTGCCAAGTATTTTTATATTGGAAACTGCTTGTCTTGTACAGAAGAAGTATAAGCAGAGACAGGGTGTTGCTGCCCTCTCAGAACGCAGTTCTCGCGTTTCCCATTCGCTTAACTTGCCTATACCTAACAGTACACAGGCCAAAAAGTCGCTAATTTACAATGGGAAAAAAAATTTCAATCATTTACCACTTTCCCTTAGGCAAATAAATAATGATAGGATTTTTCGTAAAAGCCTAAAGGCATTATTGCTTGTGGGGCCTTTTTATGACATTGAGGATTTTTCCAGTGAGTCACTACCTTGGGTCACTGCTTGGTTGTTTTTCGGATTTATTGCTTAATTTCTGTTTTTATGACTGATTTTTCACATTCTGTCTATTTCAATGTTGACTGTGTATTTATATTTTAATCAGTTTGTTTTTTAAGTGTTTGAAATGTTATATTTTTTTTATCGAATTTTATTTTATTGTCTTTTATGTAACTAGTTTTAAGGCTTTTTATTGCGGTGTTTATAGATTTAAGTTTGGCTTTGTCAATAAGATTGATAATAAAGCAAATTTTGATTTGATTTGATTGGACTCCCACAATACTGCTCGTTCTCACTGCATAAACTTTCTGAATTCTGCCATCTTAATAACCAAAATCCTCGCCAAATCAGAACACAATAAATAAAAGTGCAATTCAAAGCAATTTTAATCAGAACAAACATTCTGACAATAAAGATGAGTTTTTGTTCTTACCGCTCGCTCTTTGATATTGTAAAGCCGCCTCCTGACATTCTTTTTGCTGTTTCTTAGCTATCTCCAGTAAATCGTAGTAGGGTCTTGCTTTTTCGATACAGCTTCCTAATTTTTTGGTAAGTAATTTCAGTCTTCTTGTCGACTCATTCAGAAGCATGCGAAAAGTCGTATTAGCCTCCTAAAAATTATTAATTTTTTCAAATACAGGATCACCTAATGTATTCTTTTGGTACTTACATCATATTCAATTTCCAATTTATTAATTTCATCAGTGGTGGTATTCAATTTTTCCAATTCAATTTGTATTCTTGGGTCCAATTCATCTTTATCACTCATTTCGTTGGTGATAACCTCGGTGATAACTGATCAAATTTCTCGTTTTATTAGGTGCTAGAATAACGATTTTTTAAAAAATTTAAACAAACAATGTATGTACCTACCTTATATCAAGGGTCAAGATTGTTTCTTTTAGTATTCTGATCCTTTATTTGAAGAGGCAGATAATATTGCGTTGAAGTTAAAGCACTTAAAATGAGATTTTTGGCAAATTTCAATTCTTAAATGATTACCTATATTATTTATTGACAATGTTAAATGCTAACAAACATTTTTAAATAGTCACTCTAGCACGATTAAGCAAAAATTAAATTTTTAAAGGTAATCTACAGAGCGTTGAGGTTTATTATCACTAAATCTTGAATGTTTCTATGTAGGTACAAATACAGGACAAAAAAATCATTAGTACCTAAACTAACTAATCAAGGTTATTACTCCTTTAAATCCAATTTTAATTGTTTGGAGTTTAACACCCTTGTAACAATAAACGTAAAAATGCTCACCTTTTAAATTAATACAAATTAAACCACTCTGATTGCACGATAATTCACTTTAAAAATTTAATTAACATTGAACATGGAAAACTGGTGACCTACTTTGAAACTGTATTTATGCAGAGAAAAATTGGTAGTTAAGCAAAATTCTATTATATGGAATATAAACATCTAGCATTATAGGAATTCGAGTTGGTTTGCTATAAATATTAGCATGACGTAAGGTTTTAATGATTTTGGAAACCTAATAACAATAGCAAATTATGCAAATTAATGAAGCACTGCTGGATTTTAAATAAACAAACACTACTTTTGGCAAATGATTCTGCTTAAAACCCTAGTCTTGTGTGTCATTTATATCACGAATAATTGTTAATTTTTGTTTGTTTAAATTAAATACGAGTTGTTTATTTTAACACATATTTTAGGAGGGCCCACAACAAACAAAAATAGTAATTAATTAGTAGCCCTCTCTACTCTGACTACTTCCATTGACTACTTCTCACTTCTCACTGAAAAACTAGAACTGAAAAAAAGAGTCGAGAATAATTACAAATGCACTATCGAAAAGTATCGATGTGGTAGTAACTGAGTTCGGAATGGGATTTGTAGTGCAGAGTGCAGTATGCAGTGTTATATCACGTGATAAAGGTGTAATCGGCGGTGTAAACTGTCCGTGCGTTCGTTATTTTGGTCTGTGTTCTCCGAGCTTGACTTTACCGTTTGTTAATTCAAAAAGTGTACTCGGTGCAGGCTCATTCGCGTTCATTTATTAAAATTTCTGACACTTCTATATAGCGTTCAACTGCTCTGTTCGCTCGCTGGTCACGTGATTACGGCTCCGCTCAGCACGCTCTGCTCTTTGAGCTAAATACCGAACGCAAGGTGTAAAGCCTAGTACTCATGGGCGCGTTCAGATTGAAGAGTCCGGACGACGTCCAGTGAAGAGCGCACCCGATAGAGAGCGCACTCCGAGTGTACCCGGCGATTCGCCCAATCTGAACGGCCAAGACGCATTCTCTCTTTATAACCTCACTGATTCTAACATTTTTGTGATTTTCTTCAAAATTTTTTAAATAAATACTTAAATACTAACTATGGAAGAAGCCATAGTATCTTCCTTCATATTTAAAGAGTTATTTAATGATGAGGACGCTTCATCTTCGGACCACGAGGATGTGCTAGTGTCAGTGATTGCTATCAATTTAGCATCACAAACTAAACAAAAAAAAAGAGGCCACTTTTTTTTTAAATAGAGTTGATGAGGATAACGAAGAATTTGGATAAACCCACCATAACTCGCAAAAATAATTATTTACAATATTTGCCTTTATTATTTAAGGTTAGAACACAAACGCGCATGCGGGGCAAATTTTATCTTGCTATTTTATGGGACGCAAAAGTGTGCGTCCGGGCGTCGTCCGGTAAAAATCTACTGACAATCTGAACGGCTGGGTAAATTTTACCCAAAGCAATCTGAACGGTCAGAACGCGCTCGGGCGACACCCGACGTTCAATCTGAACGCAGCCCATAACTGCGAAATTCGCATTTTTTTGACATTGCGTTGACAATTTGACGTTTGATACACGCATAAAACGTCAAATTCTCAACGCAATAACCCTTTTCACGTGGCTCCGGTTTAACCAACCGCAACATACCGCTCAAATTCGAGTGGTAGGTATCCACACGTCACTTTGTAACCGGGTTGCATCTAAACATTCCGGTATAGGATTCGGCACCTAGGCATATTTCATTGGTCCGTTTGAATTCGGACCGCCAATTGATGCGGAGTGCCGAAATCGGTACTTAAATGTTGAAAGGTGCTGAGCCTCAGGTCAGAATGGTCCATTAGCAACAGCCATGTGGAGTGCCGAATCTAAAGTCAAAATGTTAAACAGTGCTGAGTATCAGGTCCGAATGTTGCCATGCGTTTGGTGCGGTTTTTATATTAAATCAGCTGTCCACCTCCTTCGTGTTCCTCTTAGCTACAATTTTGCGGCGGATGCGGTTTATTTCGCCGTTGCTTCATGTGTTCTTGTGCTTAAACATGCAAGATGAGTTTGCCTAGATCATTTAAACACTTTCAATGTGGTGAGCAAATTTACCGAGCCAACATTTTGGAGGAAAACGATATAAAGTAATGGATAGAAGAGTATAGTGATATAACATACACGAATTAGAATGTGAAGTCAGCGAAAAATAATTATAACAGATTCAAATGCAGGTTTGTGTTCAATGTCAATTCAATGACGTAGAATCTTCTTGGATGCGAATAGACTTTGGAAAATACATTTTTTAGATATGTTTTTGTATGCCATCATAGTGCTTATACAAAAGTGGATCAAGGAAATAATAAGAAAGGAAAAGCCAAAAACTGCTGTTGCCTGGTTTCAATTGATATTTTAATTAAACTAAGCACCACAGATACAAAAAAAAAAGATAGATATATTAGGGTATTTATTCTAAAAATTTTCTATTCTTATTTTACCTGGATCCGCCACTGCAAATTATTGTCCAAGATTTTTTGAAATGTGTCGTTGAAATAAAATAGATGTGTAACAAAAAGTAAATAAAGTTTGTTTGTTGATTTTGTGCCGCGCTAACGGAGTAACATTCCAACCTGCAGCTGGGCACTGTTTAACATTTTGACCTTTGATTCGGCACTCCACATAGTATATGTATATACCATTCCGACCTGAGGCTCAGCACCGTTCAACATTCAAGTACGGATTTTGGCACTCCGCATTAATTGGCGGTCCGAATTCAAACGGACCAATGAAATATGCCTAGGTGCCGAATCCTATACCGGAATGTTTAGATGCAACCGGGTTAGAAAACGGTATGTCATTTTTCTAACCGTTTTGTAACCCGGTTAGTTAAACCGGAGCCACGTGAAAAGAACTAATGTAAAAAAAATGCGAATTTCGCAGTTATGAGTACTAGGCTTAACACGTAACACCGAATACACCCAGTGTTACCAATGTGTGAGCATTTGCTCACATTTGTGAGCATTTTATAGATCAGGGGGTAAAAATGGGAGCATTGGCAAGATGTGAGCATTTTGTGGGCATTTTTGTTATTGATTAACCGAAAAAATTAAATTCGTCCCAGCACGAGTCTACGAGAGCCATGTCATAACTCGTGGCATAGCAAAGACCAAGCGCCCAACTTTTTAGAAAAGAATTATGTATTTCACCTCACGTGTCAAGATTGTCAAGAGGCCATTTTAGAAACGCTGATTCCATCCAAGGATGATACACACTCACTGCTACTACAGGATGGTCTATTCTCATAAGGCCTGTGTGTAATAAATTCCCCCCACGCCAAAATGCCAGTTGTGACGTAGACAGAATGTTATTTGCATTTCTTGCCTTGACGTAGGCTGTTTAAACAGCTGACAACTCAGTTATGACGTCAGAAATGGTATCACAGCAATATGGCGGCGATTACCAAAAACGAGGCTGATAAGCACTCCTTATGCCCCATTCTCACTTGCGAGAAATTCCCTCTTTTTTTGACATTGCTTCGACAAGTTGACGTTTTATGCGTGTATCAAACGTCAAATTTTCGAAGCAATGTCAAAAAAGGGCGAATTTCGCGCAAGTGAGAATTAAGCTTTATAGAGTGTGTATAGGGAATTTTCATATTTCTCAAATTATTTTTTTTTAGATACTTCTAGTGATCAGTTACATAGTTTTCTTTTTTTCCATTTTAATTTATACGTTGTACGAAAATAGTATATTAAAGTATAAGTGGATATTAAGGTCTTTAAAACACGCGCGATTTTTCGAGCACGACGGCGCAGCCGAGTGCTCGAAATAGAGCAAGTGTTTTAAAGACCAGTTATCCACGAATACTTTACACTATTTTTTTTTATTGGTATACGTTCAAATCATTAATTACTAATAATAATTGTAGAATGCTAAATTTGTGCTTGACACTTGTTACATTTTATTTGACGTTATCTACAAGTACCTAACCTACTCCTGACAAATCAATAATTAAAAAGTTGACATTTGGACCTTTCTCGGGTTGTTGGTTGTTGATGTTGTCATTGGTAACTTTAAAACACGCGCGTTTTTGAATGTTGGATTTAAACACGCTGAGGAGTACTTTAAATAGGTGAAATAGGTTATCAATTAAAAAAAAAAATTATTGAAATTCAAACCAAAAACTTTGGCGCGAAAATACAAAATCTCAAAATGACAGCGCTTTATGACGTTAAAATTTTGTAAACAACAAATACGCAGTTAACAAACTCCTGCTGACGCAGTGCTATTTTTGTGTGATTCAAGTGTGTTAAAGTTTGCTTTTTGTGAAAATTGTCGCAATGGATGAAGAATATTGTAAAGGACTGCTTTTGTAAGTTTTTTTTACTTACAAGTTCCCTATTGACAGGTTTGTTTACAGAATCGTGACGTCAAAAAAGGTAGCCATCATGGAAGCATCGTTTGGGCGGGAATTTTTTTATTTCAAATTTAGTGTTTTTTTGTGTGTAAGAAGGGCGATATCAGTTGAATAAAAACTGGTCATATGAATATTGTGCAGTATAAACTAACGTTTGATACACACATAAAACGTCAAATTGTCAACGCAATGTCAAAAAAGTGCGAATTTCGCAGTTATGAGTACTAGGCTTTATTACTGGAAAACTCGAAAACTATTGACATTTTGATATTGACGTTATTTTTAGTACATGTGAGCTTTTTCACTACAAATGAGGAGCATTTTGATAACTTCCTGTTGGCAACACTGAATACACCATCGGGTGAGTTCAGAATGATGGAAAGTGTCGACACTTTTTACATTGTGGCGTTCGGTAATTGGAAGGAGTAAGTTTGGTGTAAATACACTTTATTTGCGCTTGGAATGGCATGTAATATTAACAGTTGAGTTGAAGAGGGCGCTTCTGTACTTGGAGCTATTCAAATTTTGGCGCGTAAATAATTGATTGTAATTTTAACCTCAAAAGTTAAGTATGATGTGTGGGTTCAAGACAAGCTGACGCTGACACTTTTAAAAATATTCTCTAAGGGCCACTGAAGGGCTTTGGAAGATGTTTTAACTTATTCATTGTCCATTGTTCATATTGTAGTCATCTTTCCTTCTACTCAATTTAAACGGTTCAAAACTATTGACATTTACCGCCAAAATTTGAAGCACTCCAAGTTCACTCGCGCCCTCTACAAAATTTTGGAGAACTTAACTGGATATTTGCTGCCATTAAATTTGGTACCCGGATGGCGTGAACATGCTGAGGCAGCATTTACTCGGTACATTATGATTATGATGGTGTATTCGGTGTTACACCGCTTATTACACCTTCATCACGTGGTATAGCACTGCACTACACGAACACCGCACTAACACTGCACTGAAATCCCATTCCGAACTCATCTATAATGTACCAAGTAAATAAATGGTGTCCCACTCACACCATCCGGGCACCAAATTAAATTATTTTCAAACGCAAATAAAGTAATAAAGTGTACACCAAACTTACTCCTATCAATTAACGAACGCCACAGTGCAGTGGCGGATCTAGCATGAAGCAAACGACGCACTCTGCGTCGGGCCCCCATAGCTGAGGGGCCCCCACACAACCAAATTCTAAAGGGACTGATAAAAACGAATGAAAAACAAAACTCGTAGATACAAAAGAAAAAATCGAAAATTAAATTTTGAAAGATACGGCAACGTTGTATTCCAGGATGCCTATTCTCGAAGCCGGGGAACGGCGTTCTCGCGAGAAAGAAGGAGGGCTCTGTCTTTGTCAGTGTTATGAAAATAGAAATATGGACAACTAAGACAGAACCTTCATTCTCATGAGAACGCTTATCCCCCGTTTCGCGAATAGAGGCCCTGTAGGGAATCCAGGGCTGGGATCACGACAAGTAGAATTCTACTAAAATTCTATTTTCATGACGTCAGGTTGTCTAGCAAGTGTCATCATCGCGTGTATTTTTTTCTACTGTACGCAATAAATAGGTGACGTCATGGAAGTAGAATTCCACTTTCATGACGTCATTCGCGACCTATTTATCGTGTGCAGTACAGGCGTTGATGACAGTTGACAGGCAACCTGACGTCATGAAAATAGAATTCTAGTAGAATGTCGTGATGCGCTCGACGCGATGCGGCAACCGCGGACGCGGACGCGTTATGCGGCTTTTTTAGCTATGGTCTTCAAGACTCCAGAGATAATTTATGGCACTTGTCGGTGGAGTACGGACAGTATTAGTGCGGTACTACTTTGTCGTATTTCTTTTTGTTTAGACAAAAAGTTCCTGAATGTTTACAATTTTTTTTTTCGTTAAACTTGTTTTCTGTCTCGTTCTTGATAAACTTGTTTTTTGATAAAATTTGTTTTTATATTTGGTTGTTAAAAACTTCAAAAATATAAATAACTTTCGCACACTCACCACACACCCCAACACCACAAGAAAAATACCTAAAAAAAGCATGACAGGGCCCCAAAAAAATTTTTGCGTCGGGCCCCAAAGTTCCTACGTCCGCCACTGCCACAGTGTCAATAGTTGTATTCCTTTCACACCTAGGAGGAGCTCCGGAACAGCTCCGAGACGTTACGCGCTTATTCCTTTCGAAAAGTGTTTGTTGCAGATCGCATCTTTTCAAATTGGGGGGTGACTAACACCGGAGCGAGTAGCTCGAGGGTTTCAAGCTCTTGAAACGAAATACAACAAGTGTTCGCAGAGCGTTGTGGCAGAGCAATAAAGATTTTTGGAAATACAAATCTAAGGCTGAAGACACAATCACAAATACGAAGTACAAGAAAAAGATACAAAATACCAAAAAATCGAAATTTTGTATCATGGCATGGCAAGTAAATTGTATCCTGAATCTGTTCTGGGGCTATAGCATTGATACACGTGTTAAGCCTAGTACTCATAACTGCGAAAATCGCTCTTTTTTCACATTGCTTCGACAATTTGACGTTTTTATGCGTGAATCAAACGTCAAATTGTCGAAGCAAATGTAAAAAAAAAACGAATTTCGCGATTATAAGTAGCAGGCTTTATTATATTTTTTTCTAAGTTTTGTCTCTTATCATCTGTACCATGTATTTGCCATTAACCCTTTTCACGTGGCTCCAGTTTAACAAACCGCAACATACCGCTCAAATTCGAGTGGTAGGTATCCATCACGTAACTTTGTAACCGGGTTAGAAAACGGTATGTCATTTCTCTAACCGTTTTGTAACCCGGTTAGTTGATCCGGAGCCACGTGAAAAGAACTATTGTGTTTTCAGGGAGAATTCTCATGAGCGTAAGTTGACATTTCTAGCGTAATCAAGATATAATATGGTGTAATTTGATTGGTAAAATATCCAACATGGCGAATATTTTACCAATAAAACCCAACCATTTTGTCACGTGATTACGCCAGAAATGTCAACTTACGCTCATGAGAATCAGCAGCGTTGGCAGACGTACGACAGGTGTGGTATTTGTACGACAGTTTAGGGCATATTCGTTACAAGAGAATCAATGCGTACGGTAGTACGGTAATGTACCACAGTTTTGAAATATTGGGTGGATTGGTAATATTTTATGGCATTATGTACCACATTTCTACATTCTCCTTTTTTTCTTATGTGTGTTGGCCAAATTGGGTAAAAAATCTATGACAGATTTTCAAAGCTTGTTGCTTGAAAACAGTAGTCTATAGGCAATTTTTCGCGAGGATAATCAAGCATAATTAATCGATTATGCTGGATTATGTGATGTGTGAATTGTGTCATACCATACTCCCCCAACTCTCTTACTATCAAATTCTGGGATACTCGAGAATCAAGAACACTTAATTTCTTGTGAGAAAACAGACCGAAAATTATTTTTTCTACATTTAAAATCGACGAAAAAATTCACAAACACACTAGCACAGCCTGAATCGCGAGCATTCCATCAAGGTCTGCGGGTGATGTCATAACTATAAGCTGCAGATAGTGACGTCACTTGCAGGCCCAAAATTTGATGGGGAGGGAGTTAGGGGAGTAGAGTATGACACAATTGACAGTTTATCAGTTTATATAAGATCTATTTCTGCAGAAATCACAAACCCAGTCAGTCAATTTCATTGGTTGACTAGTTTTCTGACTGGTTTTCAACCAATGAAATTCGCTCTGACTGGTTTGTGATTTCTGAAGAAACAGACCTATAGTACCTATTTATATCTCACTAGATTCTGATTGGCACATTACATAACCCAGCATAATCAGATAATGCTTGATTATCCTCGCGAAAAATTCCTTCAAGCTTGAGAAAGTTGTTATAAAATTTTTGAGCATTTTAGCATTTATCAATGTTCGAGGATTATTCGGATAGACATTTTTTCAATAAATAGTTTTATTTGATTTCCCGATACTCCTGTTGTTGTAATTTTTAATGCAAGGTCTATTTTCAAGTTTTCAACATTTTACGCTCTCAAATAAATCATATTTTTTCTAGTAAATACATATGTACTAAAATCGTAAGGTTGTGTATCGCAAGTATTCGTGGCGCGTACGTCCCTGTACGACAGTTTTTGAGCATTGTGTACCACACTTATTGATCTTTTGTTTCGACGCCATATTGCGGTGCGCGAACATGGTTTCCAAAACAAGAAAACCAAAAATTACTAGCGGGCTGTCCACTAGACATTTTATTATTTCTATTCTGCCCAATACAAGCTAAAATTGATGGCTTTTCTTTCCAAAAACATTCGTAATAGGCGGCAAATTTAAATTTTAAATGTAATTTATTCACTAACTTTGGATTTTAAAGTTGACAGAACGCTAGTAATTTTTTTTTCTACTGTTGGCAACTATGTTCGCGCACTGCAATATGGCGTCCAAACAAAAGGTCAATTCGCCCTCAGTCTAGCCAATCATTAAATCATCCAGGTGCTTTCCAGTGACCCATTTGAGTTACTCCTGAGCAGCTCAGGAGTGCTCCACAATTGCTTTGCACGTTCCAGTGCTTAGAGTGTCGTACACTTGAGCTACTCATTTCTGTTATCCCCTGCCGCCCTGCCCCCTCGTACACCAACCCTTTTGTCTGTGTTTCATGCTCCTGAAATTCGGGATGGTAGGGGCTAAGACGAGAGCGTTCCAGTGCTGCTTATGTCGAACAGTTCAAGAGCGTCACACTTCAGGAGCATGATACTCTAACAATTTGGGCACTGGAAAGCGGCTCAAGCAGTCATGTTTTATTTCGTTTTCAAAAGGTGGAATAAAGATCTGCCCCCGGAATCTATTTTACAAATCGAGTCGGATTGTCTCGATATCGAATACGACAGCTCCGGACGTACTGTGTTAACGTATTGAAATATCGTAAAATAGAATCGCTATTTTGACAATTCGATACGAATTAGATCATGCTTACCGATAACCCCCCCTATTAGCTGGTTACACTAATGACAGATAGCATCTTTAACCTTCAAAAAATTAATTTATAATAAATAACAAAAAGTAGTACAAAATCAAAACATAAATATAAAACAAAGTGCCCCTTAAAAGAATATCTAAGAAGTATTTAAAGAAAACATAAACAATAATATTCTACTCATTGTTTCCGGAATAAGAATTGAATTGTTGCTGATCATTCCTCTAATTAAATATTCTGACCTTCGAAAAGAAAGGCGCAATAATGAACAAAAAACCAGCAAAAGAATCTTCAGTTAAAAATAGAAGAAAGTTTATCAGTCCCCTGTTTCACGTTCAAACCAAAGACGAAGACGAGAAGCACCTATCGAATATCGTAATCAAGAATGTCAAGACAACTGGGGTTTTAAATTTGCATGGCAAACATCTCATGTCAGGTAAGAACTTACAAAAAATCGTTAGGAATGAAATGTAAAAGTTGTTATTAACATTCAAGGTGCAGTGTTTTGTTATAGATTTTTCGTCATACTGCACAGTTTTTTCTATAATAAAAGATTGCAAGAACCTTCATTGGCTATTGGAAACAATTAATCAAAGCACTCAATTTTTTTCTTTCTATCTCTTCTCTCAAACGGTGTAATTTTACGCTTGTACAGTACATTGGTGACAACATTTCGTAATCCCAAAATTCAATCAAGGGAGGCTCCCTCTTAATATTGCAGACAGATTTGAATGAGGATTTAAATATGACCCAAAAACCCCAAATAGAGCAAAATAACAGGAAAAATGTTTACAGTACTAATAGCTTAGCTTCATTTATTGATGGGAAGTCCACATCTCATTATAATAATGTGCCAAAGATCTAGTAAAATTGAACATTGCTAGCCTACCTGGGAGAGTCTTTTTGTGAAGGCAAAAATAAATTCAAATCAAATTCAAAATGTGCTTTATTGTGTAAATATAAATATTTGTTCATAATAAGATTTCAATCAAATTGGCTTCTCCCAAAAATGCCGAACCTCCTGCTACTAAATGTTTTATTGTCTTAAAGAAGGTTATGCAATTTTCAGTGGGATTTTGAAAGGCATTCTTGGAGTATTTGTATACGCATCCATAGTCCAAACACAATGTAAATTTTCGCTACTATCCACCAGTTTGTCAGGATCGACCTGATAGATGGAAGACCTTCTTTAATTGTAATTGATTCATTTTGTCTTTACCATACCAGGGGCGGCTTCTCAATAAGTGCGCTCGTGCGCGCGCACTGCCTCCAAAAACCAAGCAAGAAAATAAAATTAAAATTTTGGAAAGAAAAGAAATTTCAATTAAAAAATACCTACCCAATTTTCTAAATTAGGATAAATATCTACTCTCTACTCATTTTTCTATTTTTAAATTCGCACGAACGGAACGAAAGCGCGCCCTGCGCCTGTCTTGTATATTTTTTTCTCCGCTTGGTTGTGCTGGTGGTCCGGGTGGTCGGTGTGGAATCGTTCGGCGCTCTGGGTAAATGTGTTTTCTCGCTGTGCGATTGATCGGGAATATACGGTAAGTCGCCCGATGAAAGGGATGCGCCGTGCACTATTTGAATACACACTTCCAATGTTGTTTCCACTCAATCGAGAATATTTCGATGTTTTTTCACCATTTTGGCGGTTTGACAACTCTGTTGTTCGCGTTTTTTTTTTTTTAATTATAAATTTCAATATCAATTATGTATAATGGCTAGAATACAAACATTCAAGCCTCATTTAAATACATATATTTTTGTTTTCGATAATTTTTCCTAAAGTAAAAAGAAAAAAAATCAACATACAAAATAAATGTAAAACAGGACGTGGCACCTCCAAAAAATTTTCCAAGAGCGCACAACCACACTAGGTTGCCACTGGCCGCCACTGTACCATACTGACATAAATGAAATCAAAAACATATTCAAATCAATAAAAAATAAGCACTCAGCAGGTATTGATGGCATTTCATTGAGGATATTTATTAACCTTCCGGACTTTGTACTTGAGGAGCTTGCTACAATTATAAATATTTCTTTCGACAAGGGAATTTTTCCGGATAGCTTGGGCACAGCGTTGGTAATGCCTCTTTTTAAGGGTGGAAACTCTAACGATCCCTCTTGTTTTCGACCCATCTCAATGCTTCCTACACTTTGAAAAATTGTAGAGAAAATTGTTAAGGTTAGAATGTGTTCTTTTTTAGAAAGGCATAACCTGTTAAATAAAAACCAATTTGGTTTTCAGAGTGAGAAGAGCACTAGTGATGCAATCTTTAATTTTCTTGAGGAACTTTATCTGGGTCTGAATGGAAGAGAAATGGTAGCGGCAGTGTTCTGCGATTTTTCCAAAGCATTTGATTGCGTGGATCGCGGAATACTGTTGCAAAAGCTGTATCGTTATGGATTTAGGGGCAGTGCTTTGGGGACAGGTGGTTAGGGGGCGTCACGGTACATCGACTGTACGGACCATTGATTCTGGGGTTCCACAGGGTTCAGTGCTTGGCCCATTATTGTTTCTCATTTACATCAATGACCTAGCTTCCATCAATATAAATGGAGCCTTTACATTATTTGCTGATGATACCACGATACTGTGGCGTGGAACAAGCGATGATACTTTGGAAGAAACAATAAATAGAGACATACAAATTATAAAGAAATGGTGTGACGCAAACAGCCTGACTTTTAACATTAGCAAAACCAATCTTATATCATTTAGGGGAAACGCTCCAAGTATCTCACTGAATGGTGGAGCTGTGGAAAGTACAGACTGTGCAAAGTTTTTGGGAATTTTTATTGATTGCAAGTTAAAGTTTGATATGCATATTATGATGTTAAGGAAAAGGTTGGCCTCTGCTTGTTATGCTGTTAGAATTGTACATGGTGAACTTGGAGCCAAAACAGCAAGAGATGTATATTTCTCACTGATAGAGTCTCATTTGAGATATGGCATACAGTTTTGGGGCTTTGCCAGCCGGCATCTTATTCAGTCTGTTTTTGTCTTGCAGAAGCGGGCTGTGAGATATTTGAGTGGTGCTGGTCACAGAGATCACTGTAGACCGCTGTTTATTGGGGAGGGGATTCTAACATTGGCTTGTATTTTTATCCTTAGTACAGTAGAGTTGGTTCGTAAAAAATGCAGGGGATCTGATGTCGCCTCAGCAAGTGCTTACGCGACAAGATATAGCAGTGAAAATCTGAGTCTCTGCATTCCTAAAAGTACCCTTACTAAACATTCAATTATATATGAGGGTAGAAAAATGTACAATCGCTTGCCGCTGGAAATCAAGAATCTAGAAAGTGACAAAAAATTTGGCCAATTAGTAAAGAGGATGTTATTGAAAAAAGCTTATTATTGCCTTGACGAGTTTTATGCGGATGATTTATGTTTGTGAAGTAATGTTTGTTTTTTTTTCTATTTTAAGCTTTTCAAATTGTATTTATATTTTAAGGAATTTTAGCTGTTTTTGATGTTTTTTTTTTTTTTCTATTTGTTTTTCTATGACCACTGAGTTTATACTGTTTTATATGTTTTTATTTTCAGCTTTGTACATGAGGGTATTTAAACTCTTTATACAATAAAGCATTTTTTGATTTGATTGATTTGATTTGATTGTTCCTGAACTACATATAAATGTGGAATTCTTATATCAACAAAGCCTGACTTAAGATTACACGCAGTTTTGAGCACATGGATATTGCAATAAATCTTTACATCTTCACAAACAATATTCAAAATAGAAATTCAAAAACAGCTTTTTTGTCATAAAAAAAAAAGATTAAAACATCCCATTGACAAAGCAGAACTAAAAACTAAAAAAAAAAATACCTAAAACACGAGCTAAAACATATAATGCTGACTTGTAAAACAATATTAAAAACACCAATAAATACAAAGGATACATAATAAAACGACAATACTAAAATTACACAAGAGGTCATACAAAACATAAATTAAAGCTGGTCTTAAATAAAATAAAATAAATGTATACAACAAATCACATTCTAAAATAAGTCGTCAAAATATTCGATTTCTGAATAATAAGCTTTGTTCAAAAGTAATTTTTTCACTTCTCTTAAATTTTCCTCGAAATTTTCTTTCATCTTCTATTTTTCTTATATTTTTTGGTAGATGATTAAATATTTTCCTACCATTATAAATTATGGACTTCTTAGTTAAGGTGGAAGTAGGTATCGGAAGTGACGTGGTGTGGGTATTTCTCACAGTATAAGCTGAAGTGGCCTGAATTTCCCTTTTAAACTTCCTATGAATCAAACAGGATGTTTCATAAACACGCTGGTCAAAGTTAGGATTTTATGGCTCATAAAAAAAGGCCTACAAGAATCTCTTTTTTTAACTTTAGCATAAAACGCAGTGTTCTTTTTTGTAGTAAAAAAATTGTATTGAATAAATATCCAGAACAAGCTCCCCAAAAGCATATACCATACCGCAATTGTGAGCCTATCAGAGCGAAATATGCTTCCCTTGTTGCCGATAAGTTAACCTCCGACGCTATGACCCTCAGGGCATAACAACCCCCAGAAAGCTTCCTCGACAGTTGCAAAATGTGTTCATCGAACTTCAGCCGCTCATCAACCAAGAGACCTAAAAATTTATTCTGTGTGACATTGCCTACGGATTCCCTATTCAACATTCAACAATAATATTTAATAATAATATATCCTGTTCACAATCCGATGTCCACAGGTATAGGTAAATTTATCACCTTTTCCTATTAAATAACATTGAAAGTTGATAAATTTTACCTGTACCTGTGGACATCGGATTGTGAATGGATAATAGATATCTCTATTTAGCAAAAAACAACTTATTTACAAAGTTTACAAAACATACACAATATACATAATATAGATACTACTTATTAAAATTTTAATATTTACTTACTACTACTACGAAGGATAGAGCCTCGGATAGAGCTAGAGTTTTTTATTTTATGTATGAGAATCATAGCTACTAAACTGCTTTTCCACTGACAGTCAATTTGATCAGCAAAGCATGTTTTTATTTGATGTGTACCTAGGGATACGCAAAATTATTTTGAGGGTCTTTTTTTGTAATTCCTGTAATCTATCTTTCTCATTTTCCATAAACAAGATGTTAGGTACACGCAAATGTAAGATGAGGCCAAATCAGTATCTATATTACATACTACTTTAAAGAGACCACTGGATCAAAGATAGAGTATCTCTCGGAGTAACTCTACCAAAAAAGTTAGTGTTTCTGGAGATTTTATCATCTATGTATGACTCCATGTTTCCTAAATGTTAATTTCCTGTCAAGACGGTTTATCTTATAAACAATTTCAATATCAGTATTCCCAATCATGATTTTATACTGTAACTCAAATGTTGGTTATCACCAACTAACAAGCATAAACTTAGTTTTTGCTGCTTTCAATTTAAGTAGATTTCCATTGCACCAGTAATACATTTCGCAGCTCTGTGTTGATGGTATCAATGAGTATATCAATCAATTAGGTTTTTGAAACTATCTGAGAAGAAATACAGTAAATAAATATTTAAATAAATATTTAAATAAATATCGCCTTTACTTAACTTCACAAATGCATACATACTATCGAGCATACTATATTAAAAATTAATAAGCACATACATTATACATTGCGAAGGGTGCAAAATGGCGAAGTTTAACCTTCTGGCTATTTCTCCACTTGCAACAGACCCGCTATACCCAGTCACAGAAACAACAATAAAGCCCCAGGATCATTTTCATCCAGCTTTAATACCTACTACTCAAGAAATAAATTCAATTTAAACTCCTGCATTGCTAACAAATATTGTTTATATCTATACCTCAGGAAACTAAAGTTGCATCTTTAAATTAAGTAGGCAATTTGTTAAAAATATTTACACAATTATAAGTAAAACCTCGTTGAAACAACGAGGTTCTATGATGTGGCATTGTTAGAAATTTTTTATTTCGCAAACTACGACTATGCACACGCACAGCCTCTCTAAAAGTAAGTTTTTTATACAAATAATAGGCTCTTTGTTCATTAGTAACTTTCTTAAATACACTGCAATATTAAACTATAACTATTTTCACATTTGAGCCAACCCAATGTTTTTATGTTAGGGGAAACATGATCAAACTTTCTTAATTTATATACAAATCTACAAGTGTTTTGGACATATCGAATTCTTTTCCTATTAACGGCAATCAAAAATGGGTAGTACACTATAAAACAATATGAATATACATATAAACATAATGAGAGCTTCACATAATTTTTTCCTAGTTTTAAAGTTTAATATAATCCGCATATAGCAAATAGCATGTAGCAGTAAGGTGTCATCAGCAAACAGATGGATCTTGCAGCTTGTTACTGTAGTAGCAATATCGTTAATGTATAACAGAAATAGTAGTGATGCAGCTGAGGTATTTCCCTGTGGAACGCCATTGTTATTTAAAATTTCTAAAAACGTTATTTTATCAACATATGTAACTTTTTTTCCGATTGGCTAATCAGCCACATTTGTACACTGAATAAATACATGGAGTACAAATAGTAGGAGAGCCGGCAATATTACCGGGTATGTGATCGTTGCAATGGATAATTTTCACATAAAACGATAGCTCATAGTTACCTTTAAACTAAATGAATGGGTTGCCTTGATTCTCATGGCCGCAACCCTTTGGTGGCTGGGCGTAAACTACCCCTCTTTTTTCGAAGGAACAATGTTATCGTTACAATAGCTGGAAATTGGTAGATATATTCTTTATGATGTCTTCTCAAATAATATATAGGGTGACCTCGATTTTGATGGCCGGAAATGATTACAACCCTCATTGAAAGTCGAGCGCGCGCGTTATTTTCACGTTGTTATGCTTGCTGAATACAAATTTTTGAAAGTGACAGCTCTCAAAATCACTTTTAAAGTTGAAAGAGGTTTGTGTGAAGAGGATTTTGCCGGGGATTTTGCATACGGCTGTAAGTCCTTAAAAAAAAAAAGAAACATGAAATTGTCTTTGCCGCATATGATGAGAACCCTCTACACCGCAAGGTACTTCTTATTTGTTGCGCTTATGGTTTTGTTCTATTTATAAAATTAATAAAAGTATCTACTTATAAAACAACTTTACGGCCATGAGAATCAAGGCAACCCATCCATTTGGTTTAAAGGTTACCTCGAAGGTTACTATGAACTATTGCTTTATGTAGAAATTATCCATTGCAATGATCACATACCTGTCAGTATTGCCGGCTCTTGGACTAAAAGCAATACATATGAATACAAGAATACATATAACTACATCGGAATAAAAACATAGGAATACATGAGATGAGAATACATAGGATTACATGTGCAAGGCAATACAAAGCAAAGCTCTACAACGAAGCTCATGTAATTAAGTACTATGCTGTCTTTAGAAGAACACAGTAAACATCGAAGTAAACATAAAATGTAGATAATTTAGTAGCTATGATAAAAATATCGGTCATTAGGTATAGCAAATAAAAGAGTTCAATGTAAATTGTATTTTAAATTAGCCAAGTGCTAAATAAATATATTATTTATTTATTTATTTATTTATTACAAAATATTACTACTAAAATTATTAGGTATATTCACTAACAGAATTTTTGAAAAATTAAAACTAACAAGATCGACAAAATTTTTACAAAACTCACTAGTTATAGGCTCATTGCATGCAATAAATTAAAATATAGTATCAGTCATGTGATATATACAAGTTAATACTCAGAGACAGGTGCAATGTAGGTTCTTTTAAAAAAGGCACCAAAACATCACCAAGACGGAATTGTATTGATTGCGAAACTGTGGAAATGAAATTCCAGTTATCTCAAAATTGTGAGTATTTACTAGTCTAGAGAATCTACATAAACGACTGTAATATGTATAATTGATAGAATGCTATGGAATGTGAAACAAATTGGTACTAGGAGTGTTTCGTGAAGGAACCCTGAAGCATATCTGTTCGAGTAGATCCGGACAATCTATATCACCAGACAGTAACGTGAAAATGGTATAAAGGTCACAAGAAATTCGATCAGACTAGAGACTATTAATAGATAGGATGTTTCGTATATCTTCATAAGTCCATTGATCGCGAGGAATTCGAAGTCTGAATCCACAATAACGTAAAAATTTATTTTGAACAGATTCACCTGTCTATATGTATTTGATAAATAGGGGTCCAGACTCCAGACTGGAGAGGCATAATTAAATATACTTTTCACCAAAGAAATAAACACAACAAAAAAAGTTTTCCACCATATCATTCTATATATTCAGCGATATCTAGATTGAAAAATTATCAATAAAAAAATAGTGAACGGTTTCAGATTCCTTAACCTTTTTTAGTAAATGTACTGGACACATTTCATAGTGGAAGATAACAATATTTTTATTTGTTGATGGGTATTACATATGAGTTACATTACAGGGCGGTGCAAAACTTTTTTTGTTGTGTGTATACACAGTGTGTAAAAAGTCCCGGAACAGTCAATTATTTCGAAAATGGTGCACAATATAAAAAAACTTCCTGTATAAAAGTTAAAGGTCTTAATAAAATCTATTGAAATAGGATTTTTGTAATTATACAGGGTGGCCCAAAAAGTGCTACACAAAACTTCATTTTTTTTAAATGAAATGATCCTTTTTTAATTACATTTTCTAATTCCTCTAGAGATTCTAAACAACAATTATGAAACATGTCATATGGCTAAAAATTAAGTTTTGTGTAGCACAACTTTTTGGGCCACCCTGTATAATTACATAAGTCCTATTTCAATAGATTTTATTAAGACCTTCAACTTTTATACAGGAAGTTTTTTTATATTGTGCACTATTTTCAAAATAATTGACTGTTCCGGGACTTTTTACACACTGTGTATAAATGATGTACAGTTGAAACAGAAAAATCAGAACAGGTACGCAAAACAAACCCCAGCCTAGGGAAAATGCCCTGGATGATAGCGCATTTACGTGAGGAACCAAAGACATTTGACTGTCGAAAATAACTCCCCAGTCAGAGATTTTGTTTAGTCTATTGAGAGATTCATGATCTTTATTATAATTAAAAGGTATTGGACTTTTTCTTCTGGTAAATGTTATACAGTGACATTTATCAATGTTTAGTGACATGTCATTACTCTTATACCAGCCGTTATGCATATTCAAGTCGTGCTGGAGATTAAAACAGTTACCGATATTATTTATCTTGAAGTATATTTTGAGGTCATCAGCACAAAATAAAGGCTTACAGAAAGTAGAACATTTAGTTAAGTCCATTATGCATAGTACAAAAAGTAATGGGCCCAAATGAGACCCTTGAGGCACACCTGACGTAGCTGAAATTTTTCGTGAACAGAAATTATGAATTTTTACTAGTTGCACTCGTCCTGACAAATAACTTTTAAGCCATTCTAATAAGTATGTTTATACATAGCCTTCAGCTTTACCAGTAAAATTGAGTGGTTAACACGATCAAAAGCCTTACTATAATCCGTATGTATTGAGTCTATTTTTGACAAGTTACCCAATGATGATAGAATGTCTTGCTGGTAGACCAAAAGGTTACTCACAGTAGATCTTAAGGGTACAAATTCATGCTGAGATGGATCAATAATACTCCTACAATGCCACTGTATATAGGGTATTAGGACCTTTTCAAAAAGTTTAGGAACCGACGACAAAATACTTATTGGCCGATAATTCTTAATATCGTGTCTGTCCCCAGTCTTAAATATTGGCAAAAGGTAGCACTTTTTATCTCAATGTCCTACAGTTGATTTTTTTAATTCGCAGTGTTTACTATGAGAAGTGTTCAATCCCAGGTTCAATCCTTCTAAGAATTTTTTTTTAATATTCATGGTAAAGTTGTGTTGCCATTAGTTTTGCATTTTATTGTTCAGTTGCTAATACACCTAGCACCAAGTTAATTGTTTGGTCCAAAGAAAATCCAGTAGTCATTTGAAATTAATTTGCCATTAACTCCATTGTCATAGGAAACACATAGGGCTGTTGATAATAATAATCGCAAATGGGTCCTGCATACATAAAATTGTGTTCCGCTTCCTGGCAAACTTTAATGTCCACCCAGTACGCCATAGTTGCCATATTTACTCTTTTGGTAGATTAATATTTATTAACAATTAGATACAGAGATAAAAAATTTAATTGTTACAGGTAGATACCTATAGCTAAATGTTATTGTGCTATTTTCAGTTCCAGATCGTTTATTTACAATATACAATGATGGACATGTAGATTTAGACTTTAATAGTGCCTGCAAAGACGACGATTTGTGGTGGAATGTCAAACCTTTAACCAACTTAGATTTAAGCTCTAACGTTTTAACAGAAATACCCAGTCAAATTGGCATGTTTCAGGATTTAACCACTCTTAATGTAAGAATAATTTCTCCATAATACAATGACGCTCAATTTAATTTTTTATATCTTGTAGTTGCAAGACAATTCTCTAACAACCTTGCCTGTGGAAATAACCAATCTAACTAAATTAACTAAACTGATTCTTAACCGTAACAAGATTAACCAATTACCAAAAGATATTGATAAACTATTGGATTTAAGGATATTAAGTGTCAGTTATAATTGCATTGGAGAATTACCTGATACTTTAGTGGACCTGGTTATGTTAGAAAAATTGGTAACAAGTAGAATTTATGATAGATATTCATGGAAATAATTAAAACTATATTCTAGGATTTATCTAACAATGCAATAGCAGAACTACCTTGTGGAGTTGGATTTTTGGTTCGTTTACAAGAATTTGATGTGTCAAATAATAAATTAACTGAATTACCGCCCGATATTGTTAATATAAGAAGTAAGTAACTGATTTTGCCACTAATTTTATTTACTCAGGAGTATTTTTTTCTAGGTTTAAGGATTTTAAATATTAACCATAATAGTATTAAACATTTATCTGAGAGCTTGGGGGAACTGAGGAAGCTTCAGATATTTCATGCTCAACACAATGATATTGAAGAAATACCCGATTTTACGGGGTGCGAATGTATACAGGAAATTTATTTGGGAAATAATTTTATTAAGGTACAAAAATTGTATTATTTCCAAATTTTGTATTAAAATATTTATTCCAAAGGAAATCCCTGAGGATCTTTGCGAAAATTTGCAACATTTAAAAATATGGGAACTAAGAGATAACCAAATATCATTTCTACCAAAGGAAATTGTTAAGCTTGTTCATTTAACAAAACTTGATTTAACAAATAATGAATTGACAGAGTGAGTTAAAAATTCAATTTCAATAAGGCATAATATAAATTGATGTCTTAGAATCCCTGCTGCTATTGGTTTATTGCCTCATCTGCAATCATTCAAACTAGATGGTAATAAACTAAAGCAAATACGGCCAGATATAATACAAACAGGGACCCAAAGAATTTTGCAATTTTTGAGGGAAAAATTAAATGAAGATGATTTAAATTCAATGACAACAAATTTTGCTAATACTCCTATTGATGCCTGTGTATTTCCTGATAGGTAATTGACCACTGTTGTGGAAATATGTGATTGTGCAAAGTTATTTGTAGATATAAAATGAGGAATGGTAATATATTAAATTTGACAATGAAAAATTTAACTTTAGTACCTGAAGAAGTATTTGAGGAAGCTAAAGAAGCCAGAGTTTCTGTTGTGGATCTTTGTAAAAATAAATTAACGCAATTTCCTTCTGGGTAAGTAAAGACGTTTCGATAATTGCTTCAATATCGTTTGCAACTATTTTTTTTTCTAGTTTAATAATGCTCTCTAATTATATAACTGAGTTGAATTTGTCTACAAATCAATTGAAAGAAGTACCTGATGCAGTAGCCAGCTTGGCTAAATTGAAGTTTTTAGATTTAAGCAAAAATATGTTGAGTGATTTGCCTGAAAATTTGAAGAGTATGACAAATTTAAGGGAACTTGTTTTGTTCAATAATAGGTAAGTAAATGTACTATAGCAAATCTCATCGAGTACCTACCATCCCTTTCAGTCTCTGAAAAAAAATTGTCAACCTCCAGTATTACTTCAGATTGTCTTATTGTGGACTTGAATATTTAAAGTTTTATTTTTGTTTTGTTTTAATTCAATTGAGTTCAAGTGAGATGCAGTATCAATTTTTCACGCTTCTCCCCAGGTTCCAAAAAATGCCCAATTGCGTCTATGGCATGATAGGTTTAGAGATTCTTATGCTAAATGACAACAGCTTGGAGGAGATTAACATGGAAGGCCTGAAAAACCTAAATCGATTGGCTACTTTGAATCTGTCGAATAACAATATTGGCTTTGTTCCGCCCGAATTGGGAGATATGACTCATTTGAAGTAAGTAATATTGTATATGACAAGAGTAGATAATACAGTAAATCAGTTAAGAAAAAAGTGAAATACTTCCTCAAATTTTTTTAGGTGTTTGAAAATAAAAGGCAACCCTTTCAGGCAACCACGGTATGCTATATTGGAACAAGGTACTGAGTCAATCCTTGCTTATTTGAGGGACAAAATTGTCCGATAGGTCATTATAAGCTGATTTTGGTTTAACACAATTTACGTCATGATAGTTTTAGCCCAAACTAAATCATAATTCTCATATTCCCGCTCACATTCTTCTCTTCATTTTCTTGCTGTCTGCTTGGATAACTAATTTTTTTAATGTGCTTCTTCAATGACGTAAAAAGTAAAACTATTATAAGCAATAAGCATAAGGTAGGTATTTTGAGAATCATGCTTGAGAGTTTGGTTGAGATCCCACGTAATTCTCTTTTAAAAGTTCTTCAACTTTCTCAAAAGGTCTCGTATGGATTAATTGAACAGTCTCAGATTACCGAGCTTTTTTCTCACTACTTGCTTATTAGTTTCTGCAAAAAAATATAGAATGGGCGAATTTACTATTCCTGTGGTTTAACGTGATAATCGTTTTGCCTGCAGAAGTAGAGTAACTATGCTACCAATAATGTGATACCTTTTAAAAGGACAAATTTTTGAAATATTTCGCCAACCATTGAATTATTGTATTGTTACTTCATTCTGGTTAAACAAAAATACTCGAGCATGATTTTTATGATATTCCAAAAAGACATTAGATTAAAGATTTGAAACTTGATGTGCTAATAAAGTGTGGTATTATAGTGTTAAGTGGTCACGTGCTCAGAAAAGTATTATCAAAATAATATAGTTTTATACTTGTAAATTGATACTTTAGGATATTGGTCTATTCAAGGAAAAACCAAAGATTTTCGTGTTGGAATAGATTTGAAACTAATGCTGGGTCCAGACCAAGCAGACAACAGCGACAAGGCAAAGACATAAATCCGATACATCACGTAACTGAACTGACAATTTATTTATGGAATACCTTTTTCGCTTTCTTAAGCTTGGTCTCACCCAAAAACGTTTCCGTTTCATTTGTCCAACATTGGATGAAGATGAGAGAATAGCTGGCGGCTAGCAATAAATCTTCATTGTTGGAATTTTCTTTCTGGAAACTCCACATGATTAAGCAACTGATTCGCATCAACCAACGACCAAATTTTGTTGCACATTTCTGTCTTTCTAGGATGGACAGTTTGTCTCAATTTTGTCTTGTTTCAATTTTGTCTTGTCTCAATACCCAAATTTCTGTCGTGTTTTTGTCTCAAAATCGTGTTTACTTTTTGTTTGCTTGGGTCTGAACTCAGCATAAGTACCTAACAGTTTCTTCTGTTGAGAAACGCAGCTTTTTTTTTGTGATAGTTGCATGTTAGTTTCTTTTTTTATCCTATTAGATTATATGTTATTTTGTTATGTTGTTATTATGTTATTTATTATTTTGTTGGGCCAAATTGATTGGCAGCACAGTGTTTTGAACAGAAATTTCAGAAAAACAATGTATCTGTCAACAGTCAAGAGATTTGGACGATTGTATAATATGGTAGAGTTTATTTTAAGAAATTTGCAACGACTCTACACACTGTGCCATTTCAAAGTGAGTTCTTTATTATTATTTTTTTTATGTAACATTTTAATGGGTAGGTATGTGTCGTTTTATATTTTTAACAATTTTCAGCTTTTCATTTTTCTAGTCATTCATAACTAGGGTACATACATATATTTGATAAAATCGCGCTAGAAATGAATTATGAATTCTGTGGGAGCTAATGGCCGTTCACACTGACCATTTTAAAGAAGCCTTAGCGATGTGTATTTCTTAAAATGACATTTTTCCATGTGAAAATGTCATGTTAAGGAATAATCGTTTATGGTGGGTTTACAAAAAAAAATAACACTTAAACTAAGAATTGACAATTAACTTAAATAATTGAGGTTATGATAAGTAATATAGTGGTTCATAAAAAAAATTGAGACTTTATCAACTAAGAATAATTAGGAACTACATAAGCGTACTTGATTGTAAGTTAATTTTCTTAAATTAGTTTAAGTGTTAATTTTTTTTTTTATAAACCCACCATAAGGCTTCCTTAAAATGGTCGGTGCAAACGGCCATAAGTATCATAGGCTAAATTGAAATTGTTAATGTATTGAAAACTAATGTTGTGGAGATTCTAAAACCGAAGGTAATTCAAAATTAGCCTATGGAAAAGGGCAATATTCTCAGAAAACGGAATATTCGTACCATTGTATAGAACGTAACGAGTACTAATATGACCGTAAAATCCAAAAAGGCCCCTGAAGATATAAATAATTGAATGATATGACATATTCAAGATATGAAGATTTGTATATAGTTTCAAAAATTTTAAAAACCAAGTAGGTATAGCATTGAGGCTCATGCCTCAAAAAAACTAAAAATACATACTATTTTCTCGGGTTTATCTTGGGAAAAAATTACGAAAAATATTGTACTTGATATATTGATCATAACATCAACCATAATATTTTTCTGTCTTTTGATAACCAACTTGTGGCAATTGATATGAGAAAAATCAAATAAAACGGCTGCTATGGGGTGATCTACCGTCGCGTTATGCTTTTCCAGTACAGTACTTCACTTTGTCTGTCTCTGTTAAACTATACTGTTCTTAGCGTATATCTGACTTTGTCATACAATCCTTGAGTACAGTTTATCTATTCTCAATTGAATCACCACAAAAAATTAATCTCCATCAACAATCGACGTTCTCTTTATGAAGCATAGGCGGCGAGGTTTCCAAAAAGGTTTCATAATATAATTTAGATATTATTCTACGTAAAATTTAATTATATTTATCATTATATTTGTGATACTTTGAAATACACATGCCCCAGTGCCGTTTAGGAAATATTTTTTAAAAATTTTAAACAATTATTTCATAAAAATATATATACGTATAAACCTGCGTCCATTTCTGATAAAAAGAACAAACTACTGTGAAACTACACCGCCGGCGCCGCGTCGCTCAAGCAAATAAACATGAAGAAATCTTTTCGAAATTTCGTCCCGACAACCAGTATTTCATTTTGTCGATTGTAGTTTCTATGTAGTAGGGAATATTCAAAATATTTATATAGGTTTTTTGAGTATTTATTCACGCCAAAGGTGTCTAATATTTGATCGTACCTTATACATAGCTTGAAAATAAAGTGGTTCAATTTAGAATAGATAAACTATAAAATGAAGGTGTTTAATTTTGTTATGTACCACATTTGTTGGAATGAGAAAAAGTACCTTCTGGAAAACATTCCTCCAGTATTCTAAATTCTTGAGTGGATTTGGATCAGACGACTTTTTCAAAGATATTATTGTTTTTTATATACATACTATACTATATTATTATATTACACAAGATTGTGAAAAAGTTGTGTAGTTTTTCTAAGAAAAAAAAATTATGAATATCGAAATGAAAATCCCTTTAACTACATCTCACAAAAACCTAACGACATAGGGCAGACCAAATTTGAGAGCTTTTAGATGGTTTTAAATCAAGCTGAAGCAGTACAAAAATATATTCCATTGAAACCTACGAAAGTAAATCAGCAAAAACCATTGGTTGGATAGGTTTTATATCTAAAAATTAATAAAAAGCGAAAACTGTGGGATAAATACAATAACCATAAAGGCCTATATGATCCAAAATAATACCCTTAAAACAAAGCTTGATGAGGCCAGAAAATCATTTGAACTTGAACATGGCTTAATAACATCGGAGTTCCAAAAAGAATTCACAAGTATAAGGGCAGGAGCCTGAACCTCAAGGTAACAATAAATCACTCTCCAAGACCCAACCACAAATGAAGTTTTAGATTCAAAATCCATGACATAGTATTTTGCTGGCCAGTTCCACAGATCATTCAATAAACTCTAGATATTTCCAGAACTATCGAAAGAAACATTAACATATTATATATCATAGCGAAAACATTTCATGTAAAAAAATGGCCAAGTATGCGAAAATGCTTATCCCCAAAAAGAAATGAAATCGAAGTCAAGCCAAGTTCTTCAATACGCATTCGAAAATAAAATGGTGGCTTTATTTATTCTAAAATGTTTCAAACTTGGTGAGTACCTACCTACAGTCAAAATACCTATTGAAAGGGTTATTGTTCTAAATTGGGTTTAAATTTAGCTGTATTGTCATTTTTGCGTACTTGGCCATTCTTTTACATGAGATGTTTTTGTCATGATATATGTATTGTTCGTCGATTTTTATCTGACAGTTTCCGTATGAGGAGTGAGGGGGTGAAGTATATGGAAAATACAGGTGTGACGTATGTAGAGTGCCACCAGCTCACATTCCTTTCGAGTATCAGAATAAAATCGTCGGACTTTAGTCTGTGTCTAAGATTATAGTGGATTTGCTTATAATTGCCACTAAATAAATTGTAGATGAGATGTATGCAGCGACTTTTAAAATTTATAATAATTAAATAACTTAAAGAGAGTCATTAATTTGGAAAACTTTATTTAACTTTATATTATGTAAGTACATGAAAAATGAAATAAGTTGATGAACAATAACAATCGAATTTAGAAGAAAGAAACTTTTTGACAGTAGGTACTCGCCAAGTTTGAAAAATTTTAGAATAAATAAAGCCACCATTTTATTTTCGAATGCGTATTGAAGAACTTGGCTTGACTTCGATTTCACTACTTTTTGGGGATAAGCATTTTTGCGTACTTGGCCTAATTTTACATGAAATGTTTTTGTTATAATTTTACTAATTTTTTTAAGGTTTAATCCGGTCAAAATACTACTAAAAATAGCAGGGAAGTTACAAAAATTCCCATAGAGTTGGAAATTAGTATGAATGTTCGGAACACCATTATAAATTAATGTTAAAAAGTCCCCATCGATCCCGTACCTGGAATTTTTTTTAATTCAAAGTCAACGCCTATTCCACGGTCTATTGTAATCCTGTTTAATTTAAAACTATTGAATAATAAAAAATAATAGTAGGTATTGGAAATGATGATACCTGTATAAATAAATTTAAAAAAAAAATGTCCTGAGGATGACCTAGTTTAGGTCGAAACGTCGACAAATACATATTTTTCATCTCCAACACAGTTTTATTGACCTAAATCCAACTTTTAAAAAAACTAATCGAATGAAAAGCATGTCAAGTTCTCTATTTGTCAAGTGTCAAGTCATAAGGAAGGGAGTGAAACTGTTATGCCGGTTTTCCACCAAACAGACAAAACAAAAACAAAACCCAAATTCAAACTTTTCCCAAACATTTTCAAGACTAGCATGTTTTGAGACGGTTGGAGTTTTGTTTCCCTGAGAAAACAAAACGTAGTCCGCTTGATGGAAACAAGAGGTTTGTGTTTATTTCAGTTTTGTTTTTGTTTTAAAACATGTTTTACAACACAAACTCAACAGTCCGTTTAGTGGAAAACCGGCATTACTGTTGATCGTGGCATGAAGACATTAATCAATGCAAGTACTGAAAGAGCTGATGAATTTTTGGAATATCTGAAAAAACAGAAAGCTGTGATGTGATAATAATATGCAGTGTGTGGGTACACTATAAAGTTCAAGTGTGGCTTGGTTATTAACTAGATCCAAAAGACTGTGGTTGGAAATTGGACAGACAACAATACATTGGAACCAGTCCATATTTGATTCTCATCTGCGCCGAAAAAAACTGCTCAACAAAAATTTTTGCAATTGTAAAAGGGGATGTACTAGTATTAGACGATTATGAATCTGACGACTCATTTTCCCCAATTTTTTAAAATGTATACCGCTTTCATCACTCCTGATACTATTATTTTTTATTGTTCAATAGTTTTAAATTGAACACGATCATAATAGACCGTGGCGTGGAATAGGCCTACCGGATACCCACATCATAGTTCTTCTTCTTCTTCTTTCTTGGTTATGGCTTCTGCTCCTATTAGGGCAATTTAGCCAGCGCATTTGGGTTGGTCCGGAAAGCCGACTGGTTCTTGGCCATGTTTCCGGACTCTGACTTTATAAATTTTTCTCTTATTTTTTTTTTTTTTTTTTGTATGAGTGTGCTTCTATTTCGTGTGCAACCAATTAGTGCTGTGAACTGATTCACTTCTTTTCTACTCTGTTTGTCTTTTTTTTTTTTTTTTTGCTTTTCTTTTTTCTTCTTTCTTCTTGTCTGGTGAGCGGTGGTTTAGACAATCACTACAAAGGAGTTAACAACACAGTTATTGGAATTATTGTTGGGGATTTTGGGATTTGTGAGTGTGAAATTTATTATGTTTATAATCTCTGTTATTGCATATGAAATGAGTGGATTAGATTTTAAAGGTCAATTTTGTTCTGTTTCAGATATCGGATTATTCCTTGAATTAACGAAGCGTTCAAGTTCTTTAGAATGTTTACCATTGATAGAGGAGCACAGATGTTATTGTTAATTGCCATATTGTAGATGTCTAGATTGGGTATTTTATTGATAGGGCATTCTAAGAATAAGTGATTTAGGTCCTCAGTTTGTCCGCATTCACAGTAGGGGGAGTCTTTGATTCCTATCTTGTGGAGGTGTTCCTCTGTTAGGCAATGTCCCGATCGCATTCTCACGATGGTGGTTATGTGTCTTCTGTCTATGTATGGATATTTTTTGAACCATGATGTTTTAGGGAATTCGTCTTGGATTTGCGCATACCATCTGCCCTTTGTCTTTAATGTTTCCTTCCATGCCTTGTTATGTTCTTTTTGTATTTTTTTCTTTATCAAGGTGGTCACTTGATTTCTGTTCAATGGAATGTTCTTTGGGATATTCAACATTCTGCCGATGTTTGCCAGTTTGTCCGCTGTCTCGTTTCCTGCAATGTTTGAATGTCCCGGTATCCATGCCAGTTTTATGTCGATGTTTGATTGTGATGTTGTAATGATGAGTGCTTTAGTCTTTAAGGTCGTGATGTCTGCGTCTGGGTTCAAGTATTTTTGCTGGAGTTTTTCGATGGCACTTTTGGAGTCGGTTAGGATGATTGCCTTTTTGATTCTTTTCCGGATTATATAAGTTACAGCTTCCTGGATTGCTACCATTTCTGCCGAGCATATATCTATTTCGTCAGGCAATCTGGCGCTGAATTTATAATTATGTTGGGGGCAGTATATGCCGAATCCTGTTTTACTGTCTTTCCTGGATCCGTCGGTATATATAAGTGTGAATTCTTTGGGAGTATGTTTCTATATTGGCCATGAAAAGGTTTTTTGTGTGTTGATTGTGTTTGTTCAGTTTCAAATTTACTGTACTCATTTCTTCGAGTTGTGTATCGTATAGAAATTTATAACAAGGGAGTTTGTCTGTTTTCTCCATTTTATTGATATATGGGATTAAGTAGTTTAGGGATTGCACTAAGATTGGTATGTCCTTTCTTCTCCAGTAGTTTGCGTTCACCATGTAGTGGATTTTTATTGCCTTCAGCAGCGGGATAATTGGGTGGTCATGAAAATTAACGATTTTGGACAGGAACTTTACGCCGAGCCACTGTTGTCTGTACTCTAACTGGATTTGATTTGCTTCTGCGAGTAATAC